CAACATTCAACAGTTATAACTTATAAAGTAGTATTAATCAAATAATCTTGATTTTTAAAGTATTTTCCAAAGGAACACATTTTGAAGCAGCGATATTGCACACTAGTGCTTTCCCTGCTCCTTACATAGTCCACTCCAATTGTCATAAACCAAATACTTAAAAATACAATAGACACTGCCTTTGCTAAAGTCGTGAACTATAAGGAAGAAAGTAGTAGTAGTGGGGACATAAGAATCATAAAATTATTTTCTGTTCCAAAGACCCTGGGAGCTGCACAGATTTCCCCAGTCCCAGGCTCCATGTCAGAGCTTGTGAGTAGACCCTTAGGAAGACTTCAGGAGATGCAAAAGCAGTTTTATACAATTTGAGAACCAGTAAATCACTGGTCTGGAAGACTTGGATTCTGTGCCACTCTGACATCAAGTATCTTTAATAAAAGGTATATTAGCATCAAAGGACATTTAACCTAAACCAAGACTTTTCCAAGAATATTACCATTAATCACAACTGTATCCTAGTAACAATTTTCTCTGCAAATAGTTTAATATTTATATCAAACCTCTTATAGAAGTCAAAACTTCAAAACCAAGAATCTTTTTTTCAAATTACTTCATCACAAAAATCAATGTATGTTAGTTTTAGCTTGTGGCTAATTTAAATTCCCCAAATATCACCAATTCATTCTTACCCAATAAAACTTTCTGTCTCATCCACTCTCTATTCCTTCACCAGTTACTTAGTAATAACTTATAAATTACTAAACAAAGAGAGGCATTGTTCTTATTAATGACTAACAATCTGACTTTAGAAGGCACTTGGAATAGCCTGGCTGACTTGAGTACTACTACTTCACTAGAAAGCAGTTTGTCAAGTAAAACTGGGACGAGGTAGTATACTAGGCAAGTGCAATGAATTTACAATGTACAGTAGAGTATACTACACAAGAGCTACTACTACACCCAAACATCTCATAATGAGGCTGTTTTTTATTTGTTGGGTATAGCCTGGGATTAGCAGACTGCTAGGTTTCCAAGGTAACTTGAACTAAGAAGGATCCTCCTAACTTTTAAATAGGAATCACTTTGAGATTTAAAGATGACAGACTTTCAAAAACCACGTATGAATGTCCTGAGTATGAGATATAAGCAATAAATAGTAAATTATTATTACTAACAAGATAAAAAACACAACATATAAAAAAGGAAAAGGTTCCTCTGAGACCTTGAGTATACTGAAAGAGTAATATAGTTTATTTTACTTACTTATCTACAATTTTTAAACTTTAGTTGTTTTGGTTTGTGTGTGTGTTTGTTTAAGACAAGGCCTAGCTATACAGCCCAGGCTGTCCTGGAACTTGAGTGCTGGAATTACAGGTGTGTGCCACAGCTCTATAAGTATCACCTCTTCTCTTCTGAGAAGTAAACTTTAAAGCAGGGACAGTGAAGAACATCCAAAAAAGAAGTTAAGAAGAAAAATCAGTAATTAAGGGTTCAATGAAGCATTCAGATACACATGAAATTTTAATGAGATCCTACAAGTCTTAGCAGAATTACAAAATTTTGATTCTTGAGCTATAATTTTATATGTAACTCATGCTTCCCATTAATGACAAAGCGGAGGTTAGCAGTAGTGTCCAGCATAACAGAATTAGAACTAAATATTTTTAAGTGAATGTAACTACAGCTACGCTGGGGCAGAAGTGACAGATTCAGATAACTGCTCTGAACTGTGTTTACCACACCCCTAATTGTACGCTTCACATTCATTCTATACTAAACAACCTTAATGTACTGAATTAATTTAGCACAGTGTTTGGAATATATTACAAAATCAAATGAGGTTAACTAGTTAATACAGTAACACATTTTATTAAGTCCAAACACCAAGAAATCCAAGATCAGCAGAAACTGAGAAGCCCTCTATTTGCAGTCTTTCAGGTAATTGATTTGAACATTCAAATTTGAGTTGAAAGCATATTGTAATCTGGGATACACTAAGAATAATGCCAAAGTAGACGGCTTCTAATAAACTTCTAAACAAAGGCCAGAGCAAGATTAGGGACGAAGCAGTGGTGATAACACCACACAGTTAAAAAGACTAGGTCAAAGTCTGAGTGAATAGAGTTAACATTTGTTGAGTAGCCTACCATCGGCTCTGGATTAAACAATATCCTGTGATCTCCTGATGATATAGATCATGCCCTTATTCTGCAACATGGGAAGCTGAGACTGGACTGTAAGATTTCCACCCATGTATTGCCTACTTAGTAACCAGATGCAGACAGAGGCTGGCAAAGCCAACTCACATCCAGGGTTCTCCCACAACGCTTGATTCACACTCTGTGACTGACAATGTTATCTTCTTGTGTGCCTCTCAAAAAACTAGAAAGAAGAATTCTATCCTAAAGTGTTCCTCTCCACATTCCTTCTGGCTTGCTTCATAAAGTTCCATTTTGTCACTTAATGCCATCAATCATTATAAACAGACAGTATATTTGTCAAGAGGGAAGGGTAATAAATTTGTTTTGTTTGCAAACACTAGAGCTTGAAGGGTTCCAAGGATAGACCCTGGGACAGCGTGCAGTAGAAATTATTCTAAAGTGAAGGAAAGAAAATTATATGAAGTGCCTTGAATTTGGTGACCAAGGAAAGCATGAAGAGGGGGGAAGGACATAACTCACTTGTCATTTAAAGAAACACAGACATGGGCACATGCAGAGTACACCTGGCCACACTGGACCCTCAGGCGCCTAGACTTACTGGTGACATTTAAGTGTATAAAAATAGGTGGGAAAGATGGCTCAGAGGTTAAGAGCACTGACTGTTCTTCCCGAGAACTCAAGTCTGATTCCCAGCACCCACATGGAAGCTTACAACTGTCTGTAACCACAGTCCTTGGGCACCAACACTTCAGTGGGCACCAGGCATGTATGTGGTACACAGAAACACATGCAGGCAAACACTCATACACAAAAATTTCTAAAGCTTTTCAAATATAACGCATATACTATTCCAGTAAACTTTTTAGTTATCTATTATTTCTTGGAAGTCAACTGCTTTTTTTGGGGGAGGGAGTCCCTACATGTTAAAGTAGCAATATACCACCACGAACAATACTCCTAAACTGTCTACTGCATCTTGATTGACTGTCCTAACAATTAAAATGGTAGTCAAGATTCAGGAAAGTTTTACATAAAGTTCTAGTTTTGGCAGTTAGTGAAACAACCCTTTGGGCAGTAACACCTGCTTTCCACTAACACTCAACATGCTTTTTGCTGAGCTCAATACTGAATGCACTCTACTGAACTCATCTCTCAGGAACCCTGTGACTTACAACTGCAAGGTAAGAGGTGGAATTACTCTTCAGAAAGTTTCATTACCTGCCTCGTGTGGAACAAAAAAACATGTTTTTAAGCAATTAAAAGAGGTCTCTAAACTTACTACACATACTCAGAAAATAATTTGTTTTTGACAGTCTTCCTCTTTAGACTGAGCTCGCCTGGGGCTCACTACATAACCCAAACTTTGCTGTCTCACCTCAGCTCCTTCTAAGAACTGATATTATAGGCCTGAGCCACCATCCCCAGCTCAGAAAATTCTTTTTTCTTTCAGACCGGGCTCATGGAAGCCAAGCTGGCTTCAAGCATGCTATGGAGTGGAGGACCTTGATGATGCTCCGGACTCCATCTCCTTGGAAGCTAGGATTGCAGGCCTGCACCACCACCGACTTTCATGTGGTGCTGGGGACTGAAGTCGGGGTTCTGTGCTTGCTAGGGAAGCAAGCTACCATCAGCACTACAGTCCTCAGATCCCAGGGAAAAACAATTACGAACATAGATTTCAACATTAAGAAAAGCATCAGTTTCACATACTCACTAACTGGATGAGTCCAAGGGAAAGTTCTAATACTTCATCACCCACTCCTCCCTTAAAACCAGCTGCTGGCCACTGCAGATTCTATTATACATGGTTAAAAGACTCCAGCCTCCTTCACAGAGGCAGGGAATATGGGCTTTTCTAACTTTGAACAGACAGCTCAGAAGAGTTGCCTTTAAAATGCAAGCTTGGTCTTCTGTTTACTCATTAACTACAAACTGCAGTAAGTGCTCGCATAACTTGTCTTCGGGCTTTAAATGTCAATTAGTTGGTGCTCTTTCTAGGAATCGGGAGTCTTACCTCAAGCCCTAGCCTCCTAGAGTCCTTATTCAACCCCCAGGTCCTGTTTTCTAGACTTGCCAATCGGGATTTCCCTCCAATTCCACAGCAATGAAGGGCAAGAAATGTCACCCAAACCTTTCAAACACGACGGTTTACTCTCGCCTGGTCAATGCGAATGGTGTTTAGGGGAAACTGGATTTAACGGCAAACTCAGATTTCAGCGGCATTTCTAGTCCTGTCCCCTCCATCCTCCCCCCACCCCTACACGGTGCCTGCGCATGGAGCACCCAGTTCCGTCGCCGGCCTCAGCCCCGGTCCGACCTCTGCGGCTGCCCGCCAACGCCCGGGCCGCCTGCAGACGCGCGAGGGCGGGCCGGCGCCCACGGCCAAGTTTCCCGAGGTGGAAAGCGGCGTCCCCTCCGAGAGCGCGAAGGTGCCCCGCGGCCCGCGCGCAGGCCCGACCCTCGGCACCCGCAGCCCGCAGCCTCCAGAGGGCCGAGGGCGGCTCGCCGAGGCACGGGGCTGCCGGGCATGGGCAGAGGGAGCGCGCACCATCACTCTACCTCCAACAAGTCCCGGTCGCCCCGGGGAAGGAAGTCGGCGCGGCTGTCACAACGCGAAGGCCACCCTGAGGGCGTCCGACCTCGGCCACCGCTCGCCCGCCAAGCAGGGTGCACCCGCTGCGAAAGCAGGCGGGAGCCCCGCAGACAGGCGCCCGCCGCGGGACGGTCCGCGCCTGCGCCCCGCCCCTCCCGGCCCCCCGGACTCCGCCCGCGCCTGCGCGCTCGCCGGCCTCTCGAGCCGCTCGGGTCGGCGAGAGGGAACCGGAAGTGCGCTCAGCAGGCGGGAGGTGGAGAGGCGGAGGAGGAAGCGGAGAAACACGCGCCGCTCCGCGGCGGATCTAGACGGTGGGGGAGGCAGGCGGGAAGATCGCGGGGAGCCCTGGCAACAGGTCTACGCATGCGTCCGCGGGGCCGACTGCAAGAGGGGAAAGCGAAACCGCGAGGGAGCGAGGGGCGGGGTCTGGGAGGTAGAGGAACCGTTTCCCGGAAGGGGCGGGACTAGCGGCTAGGGCGCTGGATTCGAAATTGCGGCCCGGCGCTAAGTGCTTGGGAAGGCAGCTTGGGTAGGGCTTTTCCTTTTTGTTTTCCGTTTCTCTCGTTTTAGCGCGGATTTGAGGGGATCGGGAACTTGAGGGCGGCGGTAGTTACCGGGCCAGACTGGTAAATGACAGACGTGTTCCTTCCACAGCCGCGAGGAGGGGCTGTCTGGGTAAGTCCCGCGGGACAGGCTGAGGCCGGCCGCCCGGTGCTTGCACAGACTTCCAGAACAGAGGCGGGAGGGCGAGCTCGCCCACAGCCGCCCTGCGGGGTCCCCACGGCCACCCCCGAGGACACCCCCACGCCGTCCGGGTGACCTTCCTCGACGCCCACCCCACGCGCCGCTCTGCGTTAGGGTGGCAATTGGGAGAGCAGTTTTCTTAACAGCAGTCACCACTTAGGTGGGCCTCTGGGGTGGTGTGGACGCGGTCCTTTCTCCCCTGCCCGCTCCACCCTCGGGTGGCCATCGCTTTAAATAAATAGCAGTTGAAGTTGTTCCCGGGCCTTCTCCATTCGCTTCCTGACTCGATGCTAGCCATCCATTTGCCTACCTACCCGAGTAACCTCACTGTTTGAGCTTTCCCTCCTATGTCGTGGGAAGTAGCATCCACCATTAATTACCCCAGCCTCGGTGTACAACCTCAGGTGTCCGGTACTTAAGACAATTCCCTCATTCAAAGCCACCATTCACTTCAAAAAGTAATCATATATTGCGTCCTTTGTCATGGATTGGTGAAAAGTCTAACATAGTGAGAATAGACTAAATGTGGGACGGAACCATCCTTGTAACTAACGGGAAACAGCCTCTGGCAGTACTACCATCCTATTAAAGTGCTGATTTGTCCCTCCGTAGCTTCACTCTACCAAGATGTTTAAATCCTGAACCTGATCGTTACTTTATCCCCAGTACTTAGGCACATTCCTAATAAATACCGATAGGTAAATTCAATATGATTCTCAAAGTTTAAATTCATATGACGGGATAACTGAAAGAAATTTAAGACAGCCCGACTCGGTGAAATCATGTGGCAAATCCCATACACTTACAGTCCTGCACGATGGAAGTTTATATTGTTTACCAATCTTTATATGAAAATATGCTTGACTAATGCGAATTTGGAAATTTAACTATTTCCTGTCCCTTCGTTAAACTCTGAAAGAGCAGAAAATTTGCCTTAATAAAATGTGTTTTTGCATAAATCAACCATTGACTTCTTTTTCTGTTCCTTACATTTGATTCATTAGTGGAATTAGCAAGGGTCTGCGCTTTTCTCACCTCGGTCAGTTTTATAATTAACCAGTAGAAACTTAATAGCTTTTAAGGAAGCTTTAGGAGCATAAATGGATTTATGGGCGCCATATGGTTACTTCAAAGGATCTGTTTTTGTTTTAACTTGAAATAGATTCTTTGGCCCTTTGTTAATATAGAAACGTATCTTCTAGATCAAGCCATAATCTGGGTATTCCTGCTACCTTTGACTCTTGGGAGTCAAAGGATGTTATAATATGTATCCGTTTTAATATGCCTCCTTTCCTAGAAAGGCTCCTTGTCTCTCAGAGTCCATAGGTTGATCAGTAGCATATCCAAAACCCAAAGCCTCAGAGTATGAACTCCAAACTCAGTGCTCTTTTCACCAATCGAGATACACTGAAGCTATTCATAAGTTGTAAAACTGTTTGCTACATATTCCAACTTAATTGTCTTCTTTCTTTTACACAGCTAATTCCTAAAAATTAGAAATACATTAGGAGACTCATTTATGTTGACTGCATCATCAGAGAGTAATAGTTATAAGAGGCTTGAGTAGAAACTCAGCAATTTACATAGTTTTGGAGGATTTGATAGCTGTAGTATTTTTAAGTTTTACTTCATGCTAATCTTCAAACACGGAATATGGACTAATCAAAAACTGCTGTCTTTTAGTGCAGGTATAAATCTTAAGCACTGTTGCATTTGGTCTCCTCTTGGGAGTTTCACAAGGTTTTGGAGTCTTTAACTATTGCTATGCAGTATCACTTCAGAGAAATGACTGGTACTAAGAGCACATAGAGAAAATGGCAATGAATGGTGGCTTAATTTAAAGATTTTGGATTAACTGCATCCTTAAAACAGGTTGTATGTACTTTTTAACACGCTATAATGGGTGCTCTTCATAGACAACATGGATTTTTTTTAATTTAGACTGTAGAATTGGAAAAAATCCTAAAATAATCTTTTTTAAAAATGGCCAGACATGAGCATGCCTTTAATCTCAGCACTCTCTAGGCAGAGGCAAGAAGATCTCTGTCAGTTCAAGGCCAGCCTGGTCAGCATAGTGAGTTCAAGATAGCTAGAACCACGTAGTGAGACCCTGTGTCAAAATGATTGTGTGTGTGTTATATAAACTTATTATAGATGTAATTATACATGTGTGTTACACTTGCAATACATGATTTTCTAATAACTTAATTGTTTATATTTCCTTATAAAATAGCCACCATTAATGAATAAAAACAGTATTTTAATGATTTTTTTAAAAACATGATTGCTCAGGTTGTTATGGAGAGAAAAATTGTACACAAATGGGAAAAAGTAAAAAAGAAACTGGAACTTTATTACAGACTTAAAACTGTATGTAGCAGAATTAGTGAAATTTTGTTAGAAATGGAGGATTAAGAATGGAGCATGGGGGGAGGGGAGAGGAGGACATGAGGGAGAAGGAAGGTTGAGTCAGGAAGAATAGAGGAAAGCAAGATAAGAGATTGACGACTACCTTATATGCCATCCTGGAGCCTTCCTCCAGTAGCTGATCGAAGCAGAAGCAGTCACCCACAGCTAAACTGAACTGAACTCCTGGAATCCAGTTTCAGAAAGGGAGGAGTAATGAATGAGCAAAAGACCAGACTGGTGAAACCCACAGAAACAGCTGACCTGAACAGGGAGGAACTCATGGACCCCCCCCCCCCAGCTGATAGCTGGGAAACCAGCATAGAACTGATCCAGACTCCCAGAACGCTGATGTCAGTGAGGAGTCCTCAGCAATCTATGGGGCCTCTGGTAGTAGATCAGTGTTTTTTTTTTTTTTTGGTTTTTCGAGACAGGGTTTCTCTGCATTGTTTTGGAGGCTGTCCTGGAACTCACTTTGTAGACCAGGCTGGCCTCGAACTCACAGAGATCCGCCTGCCTCTGCCTCCCAAGTGCTGGGATTAAAGGCGTGTGCCACCAACGCCCGGCTAGTAGATCAGTGTTTATCCCTAGCAAAAGAATGGACTTTGGGAGCCCATTCCACATAGAGGGATACTCTCTCAGCCTAGACACACGGGGAAGGGCCTAGGCCCTGGCCCAAATGATAGGACAGACTTTGAGGATTCCCCAGAGAAGGCCTCACCCTCCCTGGGGAGCAGAAAGGAGATGGGATAGGGGTTAGTAGTGGGCAGGGAAGAAGGGGAAGGAGAGGGAACTGGGATTGACATGTAATACAAATTTGTTTCTAGTTTAAATAAATAAAAGAATTCATTTTGTAGACAACAGAATGTACTGCCCATTTGGCTACTGGGAACAAAGCTTAAGCATACTTGGGAAATACTAAGACTGAAAGAGTTTTGTAAGGAAAGGTGATGGATGGGATTAAAGAGTTTGTTAAAAACCAAGCAATCCCAGGATATAGGCAATGCGATGAGAGCACACCATTCTACCCAGCCAGATCCTGTCTCAAAAACAGAGAAGACGGGATATCATGCATCCAGCAAGAAGGAAATAAGTAGGCTGAATTAGAGTTCATCATTTCAGAGACTATAGTTAATGATAGGGATTAATAAATTTAGAGACCAGGCTAGCAAATAAAAGTTCTAATTCTTGTGGCTACATCTAGTTCTTTTAATATTATCCCTTAGTGTAGTTCTAACCTATCCCCCCCCCCCAGGACAGGGTTTCTTTGTGACTTTGGAGGCTGTCCTGGAACTAGCTCTTGTAGACCAGACTGGTCTCGAACTCACGGAGATCTGCCGGCCTCTGTCTCCTGAGTGCTGGGATTAAAGGCATGTGCCACCAATGCCTGTCTCTAACCTATACTTTTTGTAGTTTTGTTTTATCTAGTAAATGCTTGATGGCTTTTTAAGAAATTGAAGAAGCTCTTATAAAAATTCAGTGTAAGTTTCTAAGAGGCACCAAGCAATAGTCAATATTGTTTTGGGGACCTCTTGGAATCTCCTGAACAACAAGGTCCACTACTAGGATTTTGTGAACCTGTTTTATAGGGGGACACTCATCCCAATTTGTGTGACCTCAATTAATACACACATGTGTAAACATGCTTGCATTACATTACATATATAATTTTAAGTAGCCACAGAATGGTTCCTTATCACTATTTAAGACACCTTTGGTTTTTTGGTTCTTTTTTTTTTTTCTCTCTCTCCTTTTAAAATGAGTCTTTTAGAGTATGCAGTGTGAGCCACAAATAAAAGCAAAACTATAGGGAATTTTACTCTCAAATTACTACCTGGTGTTAATGTATTGTAATGGCTAATACTTTACAAATCTCGTTTACCTTCATAATATTATATTAAGAAATACATATGCCCCTACTCTTTCCAGAATTAGCTACAACTTTTCACATTAACTCAATTTATTGCCATAGTGTTACAGCCAACAGAATGTGTTCAGGTAGAGTAAAATTAATACTAGCCTACTATTAACTACTTAATACTTTGTGTTTACTCTGTTTTTCTTTGTAAAGTAATATAACCATACACACATATGTATATGTACATATATATACATATATATATATATATGCACTTCACAAAAAAGAGTACATAAAATAACACTTGTGGCAAGCCTGGCCACATTATAAAATCAAGATTCAGAAAACTGAGAAAAATATGTACAACAGCCTTTTGAGCAATGGTTTTCTTTGCATTTGTGTGCAATTTGATAGAGTAGACTTTTGGAAGAAAAGACTAATTTTTATTGAGAAGGTTTCTACATGTAAATAATGGCTTTTGCTTTGGGTTTTTAGGCTACATTAAAGATAATAGTCGGTTAAATTTATGTAGTCAGACTTAATATTCATTGTGAGCATATCTTTATAAGTTAACAAAAAAGGAAAAGAAGAATGGGTGTGGGTGTTTAATAAAGAAAAGCCAATAAAATATGCAGGCAGGACAATGGAGTTCAAGATGGTTTGTTCCTCTGTCCTGTACTATATAAGGAAGGAAACATTAATTCCTTTGCACGGTAGAATCATAGGTGACTTAAAATATGTTGCTTTAAATTTCATTTTCCCATAATGAACTCCTTATGTGGCCATACAATTAAAACAATACCTTTTATAACATAACTCCATATTTTTCCAGTATTTCTTACTTCATTTCTCCCCTCCCTAATTTTCCATCAACGTTTCTATGAACTAACCTTGGATTTGGGGTTTTTTTTTTTTTTTTTTTTTTTTTGTCTCTTTAGCCATTTGCCTGCTCCCATGTTCCTTGCTTAAGTATACCTCAGATAACAGCAGATAATCACCAGGATGGGAGTGAATGACTTGTGGCAAATTTTGGAGCCTGTAAAGCAACATATCCACCTGCAGGATCTTAGTGGGAAAACCATTGCTGTTGATTTGAGCCTCTGGGTATGTGAAGCACAGACAGTGAAGAAAATGATTGGAACTGTCGTGAAGCCCCACCTCAGGTATAGGAAAGCCTTTTAATTGTTGTATATTTGAGATTTTAAAATAAATTTAACATATCTTGATCTGCCATTTTTATGCCAGTGACTTAAATATGTTTCTCCTATTCCTAGCTTTAAGTTCACATATATCTATCTTCACTGTCATATTTCAGTTACTGAAAGCCAGAAGCTGAGTGGCCATTATCTTCATCTTTTATTTCTCATCTCTAGACCATTGGTAATTGTTATGCATTCAGCTTCCAAAATACTTACGTGTTCACAGGTTTTTCTCCATGTCTAGAAACATCACATCAGACTTACACCTATCTGCTGCTAGAACAGCATTTGCACCTGCTCTTAGCCTCTCCCTCCAAACCAGCTGGCAGTATATATAGACGGAAGTCACCCTTGCTTAAAAATTCAAGTACTTGCCCATTCTCCTTAAAATAAGATCTTAATAAATAAAATACAGGCCAGTGAGCTGATTCAGTAGGTAAATACACTTGCCAACAGGTCTGACAGCCTGAGTATGATCCTTAGAATCCACGTGGTAGAACAGTAGAACCACTTACTGCAAGGTGTCCTTTGACCTCCATACAAGTACAGTGGCACACATGTGCCTACACAAATACACTGCTCTCACACTCATGTACGCACACACACTTAAATGTTTAAAAAATCTTATTGCATGTAATGTTTTTTCTGTATTAACCTAGTGTTCCTTTTTTTTTTTTTTTTCTTGGTTTTTTGAGACAGGGTTTCTCTGTATTGTTTTGGATGCTGTCCTGGAACTCAGTCTATAGAGCAGGCTGGCCTTGAACTCACACACAGAGATCCGCCTGCCTCTGCATCCCGAGTGCTAGGATTGAAGGCATGCGCCACCACCGCCCGGCTCACCTAGTGTTCTTATTTGCACTTGTTACCAACATGACAATGCATTACTCATTTGTGTATTTCAGGAACCTATTTTTTCGTATTTCATACTTAATTCAAAGGAATGTAAAACTGGTGTTTGTAATGGAAGGGGAGCCACCAAAGCTGAAAGCTGATGTCATGAGCAAGAGGACTCAGACACGTTATGGGCCGCCTGGAAAACCATGCGCTCAGAAGACAGGGAGATCACATTTCAAGTCAGTCTTGCGAGAGGTGAGCATTTGGGTTCAATAGTAGTTCTTATTTGAATTAAAGAGTCATTTTATAAACTTACACCATTAACCACATTGTGAGTACAGGAGCAGAGAGTTTGTGTTAGAGCCAGGCTCTAGCACCAGCATTTAGAAATTGTGAGACACTGGGAAGGATTTTTAACTTTCATGCATTTTAATTCTTAGTGAAATGGGCATAGTAATACTCTGCAGAGATTTTATAAATGCTTGAGAAATGTGTCTACAGAAAATAATCCATGGTTGGAACTTGACTATCTTTCCTTTGAACTCCAGCAGTTCAGAGTGCATGAAAGCCACAAGTCATTTGCTTCTTTGATCAAGGTTAAGGGCACCACTGGTTTGTGAGTATAAACATAAGTATTTAGGAGGCAGTGTGATAACATGCCCATTTAACTAAGCAATAGTAGGAGGCTCTATGCCAATGACCTCTCCAGTTGTAGGTGTCTACAGGGTCTACAGCACCAGAAACTTGTATGGAAAGGGCCTCAGATTCATCAGAAATCAGTTGTCCCCTTAGCAGTCACAATACTATTATACCAGTAAGTACCTCTTGCCTAGCAAGTTGGTATTGTAGTGTGCTAAGTCTAAGAAAGACTGTAGGTGGGTTTTTACCCCCCCCCCCAGCTATAAGCATAGCAGCTTCTGGCACTTTGAAGGCTACCCAGCAGGATTTAGGGGGCTTCATTTGTTATAGGAGCTTGCTATATGGCTTAGAGTAATGCTGAATTTATGATCCTCCCTGGCCCTCGTTCATCAAATTAAAATATAATTACATCACTTTCTCCCTTTTCTTCCTCCAAGTCCTCTCTCTCCAACTCCTTCCATATACTCACCTCAAATTGATGCCCTCTTTTTCGTGTGTGTGTGTGTGTGTGTGTGTGTGTGTGTGTGTGTGTGTGTGTGTGTGTGTGTGATTTTAGGACTACTTTGTATGAGATAGCCAGTTAGACAACTTATCTCTGGAAGAGGCTACTTCTCCCTCTCAGCAGTTATTAATTGCCTGGAGTTCTTTGTCTAGGTGTGGGACCCCATGGGAATTCCCCTCTTTTGAGTTAGCATGTTTCTTTAAGTTGTTGTAGTATATGAACGGTTTTTACTGCCTTTTCACTTAATGCATCATAGACATAGTTTCCTGTTGTTACTTTTTATTCAAAATTATAACTGTTTATGTAGCATGTATAGGGCTATGAATTGTTCCTATGAGTGTATATCATTTACATTTTAACATTTCTCCATTATACATGAAATAATGAACTTTTTCTGTGTGTTACTTTTTCTTATCATTGGAGATTTTAAATAAAATTATTCAAAAATAGAATTGACAAGCCAGGAAGTAGTGGTTCACGCCTTTAATCCCAGTACTTGGGGTGCAGAGATAGGTGGATCTCTGGGAGGTCAAGACCAGCCTGGTCTACTGAATGAGTTTCAAGGCAGGTTCCAAACCTACACAGAGAAATCCTGTCTCAAAAAACAAACAAACAAAACAAAAATAATAGAACTCACAAATTAAAGTTCTAGAATTATTTTTTTTTCTTTTTATTTCTTGGAAATACATTCCTACCAATACAAGTGTGAGGGCAGTTTTGATGTTCACAAAAGAACTCTGGATGTTTGATTTATCTTACACAGAAGCAAAAATGTTTAATATAATCCAATCATGGTTAATTGTAGTACTTGGGAGGCAGGAGAATATCTCTAAGTTTAAGGCCAGCCAGGGCTGCATAGTGAGATCTGTCTTTAAGATACATGAAGGTGGGGTATGTAGTATGATGAGGTATTTTAGAAGACACTGCATAAAATAATGATTCTTGATCTGCTATCTTCTGGTCTTAGTGTTTTAAACATTTTAATTACTGAGTAGTCAAACTTAATGACTTAGTAGTTGAAGTAAACACCTGTACTAGGCTCTAATAATTTCCTGTAAAATATTTCCCAGAAATATCTGAATCATCCTTAGAATATTAAATATGCTGTATGTTTATCTATGTCTTCATAAGGGAATTGGTCCATTCCTGCTTCTCTATTACAATCATTATGGTCCCCTTAGGCACTTTGTGTCCATTCAGTATTGCTTACCTATCACTCATTTTCATATTTCTGCACTCGAATTGGGTCAAAAAATACAAATTAATTATCCTTTGTCACCAAGCTCATCCTATAGAATAAGTAGAAGAACATTGCAACCAGCCGTGTCGTAACTTGTTTGTGTGTGACTGCTATGAAAGGGGCTGTGAAGATAAATGGCACGCAGAGCTGAAATAACTTTGCTCAGTGTGATAAGATAGTCCCTAGCTAGGGGAGAAAAAAGACGTGCTTGTTGCAAAAATGTTTCTGCAGAGTCACTGTGCCAGTCCTGAGACTGGGCCTTGGGCCACATCTGGCAGCTTTTTTTGTTGTGTGTCATGCAAAAGATTAAACATTCTAGCCAGGCAGTGGTGGTGCACGCCTTTAATCCCAGCACTCTGGAGGCAGAGGCAGGCGGATCTCTGTGAGTTCAGAGGTCAGCCTAATCTACAGAGCGAGTTCCAGAACAGTCTCCAAAACAATACAGACCCTGTCTCAAAAAACCAAAAAAGAAAAAGAAAAAAAGATTAAACATTCTGAGCAACAGGTGTTAAATCTGTCAGTCTGTGGGAAGTACATTGTGTAGCCTCTTTCGTCCATATTCAGTATTACTCAATTCCAAAAGGGCCATGAATGGCAAGGAAAGTGAACTACCATAATCCCTATGGCTAGACTACAGGCTGCTCAGCAACATCAAAGCCAGAACTCAAAGAAAGGTCACAGAGAATTATTTATGCATCATGAAAGGATAAAATCACCTTGCACCGGTATCTGATTTCCTAGGAGGAACCAACAACTTAGCCTTGTGAGAATCTTCATTCTGTTGTATGACACAGTTCCTTGGAAAATGCTACCCAGTAGGGAACTGATGACAGACTAAGGATACCACCCGAATCCAACTTGGTGAACCAATGAATTTTACTGGTGTTACATACAGGAATTGGGGTACAAGGTCTCTTAGAGGAGCAGGAACAACTGCGTCTCTAAAAGTCCATCTACATAGGCAACAGCTCATAAAAGCTGGAAACCCAGAATGCACTGCACATGTAGTCCAGGAGGTTGAAGAGTGTGTTCCAGATGGCTCAGTTTCTCGGAGTATCTTTGAGGCAGTTCACCAAGGTCTGCTTCTTCCAGGTAGTTTGGCTAATCTGTCTCTTCCAGGCAGCCCAGCAATCTGTCTCTGTGTGTAACTCTCTATTAGGTGGCTTGACTGATCCAAGAAGGTTTCTCAATAGTCCTTAAAACTTATATGTGCGGGAAAGGAGGGGCCTATTGTCAGATCAGGGACTTCCTGAATCCTCAGAGTTGTTTATTGCTGATCGGATCTTGTTGAGCTTCCCTGCAGGACAGACTGTTTTCATTCCCTCTTAGGACATACTGTGTAAATCACAATCACAATACTGTAGCATTCTCAGTATTTCAGTGTTTCTTTCTGCATGATAACACTAGAAATTACATGGGCATAACCAAATTGTTATTTTAATTATCTCACCTAGAAGGTTAGCAATCCTTTCTTAATGCCATCAAATTACTCAGTGTCCAAATTTCCAAGTGTTACTTGAATGTCATACTTTTTAAAATACCCCAAAGACAACTACTAATACTTTTAATGTAGAAGTAATTTAAAACTGAAAAACTGAATGTCTTGCACCTACTCTTCGTTTCAGTGCCTTGAGATGCTAGAGTGCCTAGGAGTCCCCTGGGTCCAGGCTGCTGGGGAAGCCGAAGCCATGTGTGCCTACCTTAACGCCAGTGGCCATGTGGATGGCTGCCTCACCAATGATGGCGATGCCTTTCTTTATGGAGCTCAGACGGTTTACAGGAATTTCACTATGAACACAAAGGTATTTCTTTTCTTTCTCTCGTGGTATTTGTTTATATGTTACATTTTTAAAGAACAAGACTGAGATAATATGTGTAAAATGCTTCTATGATGCCTGGCAAATGGTTATTGCTAAATAAAATGTTTACTGATTAAAAATATCATTGCTATACATTTAAATAAACTAGAAGACATTTTAAAAGTTTTTGCCATAAGTGTATGTGCGTGTTTAGATTTAAGTTTTTTAATGGTTTGTATGTATAAGGTGGGAAGTATACATTTATGAGTGCAGGCATCTGTGAGTCACCTGACATGGATGCTCTTCAAGAACAGTGTGAGTAACCACTAAGCCATCACTCCAACCCTGTAAATAAGGATTCTGAGGTGATGGAGATAATAAAGCTGACTATCTATTAAAAAATAATTCTTAAAGGCATTGTGGCCCAGCAAGATGGCTTAATGGATAAAAGCACTTAAATGGAGTTTGAATCCCAGAGCCCACATGGTAGAAGAAAAGAAATGACTTCCACAAAGTGTTCTTTGCATTCCACTCATACACCACGGCAATTAATTAACAGATTATTTTTAATTAATTAAAGCACTGCAAAATAGCTTATTCTCTTCAAAGTGTGTATTTCTTCCTAATGTAACACAGAATTATGTATGAAATGCATTGCTTAGTCCCAGAACTTAGTTTCAGTATTTAATTCTCAAAACACCTCCAAGTGTACAAGGAGAGGGATAAAAGGTAGGAAATTCCTTGTTGCAGATTAATAACTATAAAAATTTAGCAAATCAAATGCTTGTTGGTGGGAATGTGTAAATGTTTCCCAGTTATGATTCCTAGCTGGAGATTCTTGCCAATTAGCATTTTTATTGCAGCAATCCAGGGGACAAGAGACTAGGCAGTTTCCACCTCAGTATTTGGTGTAGGGCCAGCAAGGCTAAGCTTCATGCCATCTCTCAAAACACTAGTAGGTCCCCACAAGAAGTACTATCAGAGTCAGTGTGATCCAATACTAAGCAGTTGTGTAATGTTATGTCTTTTTTTTTTTTTTTTTTTTTGGTTTTTCGAGACAGGGTTTCTCTGTGGCTTGGAGGCTGTCCTGGAACTCACTTTGTAGACCAGGCTGGCCTCGAACTCACAGAGATCCTCCTGCCTCTGCCTCCCAAGTGCTGGGATGTAATGTTATGTCTTAAAACAGATGGTGCACACCTTTAATCCCAGCATGGTGGATACAGGACAGAAGTGTTAATAGCAGGGTACTGATGGCGCATGCCTTTAATCCCAGCAGAGGCAAGGACAGGTAGATCTCTGTGAGTTCAAGACCTGTCTGGTCTATAGACCAGTTCCAGGACAGCCAGGGCTGTTATATGGAGAAACCCTGTCTCAAAAAACAAAAACAAAAAGAGTTAATAGTAAATATTAATAATGAATGTCAGAGAAAGGGATTTTGTGGGGAGGGAGGGGTGTACCAAGCTACTAGTAATTAACTTTAGATAATTCAATTATAGTGAGTTTATTTTCTATATTATATACCATACATTGTACTTTTTAAATACCAAAAGCAATAGAGAAAAAAGTTATCCACTATGAAGGTTTTTTCTTATTTAAATGTAATATTTTTAGTAATTAGAGAATTTTATACATGAATTCAATGTATTCTGATGATATTTACCACCCATTCCTCCCAGATCTAATTCCCACCCCTACTCTCTCTGTCCTAGTTTGCTTTCTGTTGCTGTGATAAACACTACAACCAAAAACTACTTGAGGAGGAAAGGGTTTATTTAACTTATACTTCCAGGTTATTGTTATCATTTAAGGACGTCAATACGGGAATCTAGAGGCAAGAACTGATGCAGAGGTCACAGAAGAGTGCTGGTTCCCTGGTTGCTCCCCAAGGCTTGCTCAGCTTGCTTTTTTGTACAGCCCAGAAAAACTTGCCCAGGGTTGGCACTACCCACATTGGGCTGGGCCCTCCAACATCAATCATTAATCAAGAAAGTACCCCAGGGACTTGCCTATATGCCAATCTTATGGAAATATTTTCTCAATTGAGATTCCCACTTTCCAGATGACTCTTGCTTGTGTCGTTGACAAAAACAAAAACAACAACAGCAAACCGGCACGCCTTCCCAAATTCATGTTCTTTATTTTTTGTTGTATTTTTTTATAGCCTATGGTTCCATTTGTAATGCTCATATACTATTGGGTGTGAGGCCAGAATGGACAACCTACTAGAGTTAATACCCTTAAAGAAAATTGACTTGCTGGGCATTGGTGGCTCACACCTTTAGTCCCAGCACTCGTGAGGCAGAGGCAGGAAGATCTGAGTTCGAGGCCAGCCTAGTCTACAGAGTGAATGCCAGGACAGGCTCCAAAACAATACAGAGAAACCCTGTCTGGAAAAAAAACAAAAAATAAAGAAAGAAAAGAAAATTGGCTCTCCCACCCACAGAAACCAACAACTGTCAATAGTCCCTCAGCTAGGGGTGGGGGCTCCTCAACCTCTTCCTGCTCAGTGCTGAGATGCTGCTGCCTTGATCTTTGGCAGGCACCCACAACTGCTTTGAGTTCATGGCTGCAGTGGTTCTCTCATCCAGAAGTCATTCTTTCACTCTAGCTTTACAGTCTTTCTGCCCACTCTTCACCATGATCCTTGAGCCTTGGGAAAGGAAGTATGATATGCATGTCTGAACACTGTACATAAAGCACACTGCTTCTTTAATGAGTCTGACAGCTGTAATAATCTATGGGTATAGAGATGCAAATTTAGAGGACAGTTTGATACTATATCCATTTAGCAAAATAGTAGTAGTAGGTTCACCCCTGGGACCTTTGAGTTCCCCAGCCATGGGTTCTTGATCCAAAATACAGTACCAAGCACGTGTTACCTCTTGTAGAGTGGTTCTTTTTTTTTTTTTTTTTTTTTTTTGGTTTTTCAAGACAGGGTTTCTCTGTGGCTTTGGAGGCTGTCCTGGAACTAGCTCTTGTAGACCAGGCTAGCCTCGAACTCACAGAGATCCGCCTGCCTCTGCCTCCCAGAGTGGTTCTTAAATCCAATCATAAAGCAGTCACACTCATAACATGTAACATCCATTCCGCTACTGAACCCATGGTCACTACTGTAGCTCACAGGGTTCCCAGCTGAGTTAGACTGCTGTGCACTTCCTGGTACTTTGAAAGACAACCAGCAAGGAAGAACTCTCAGTTACACTTGACTCATTTACTGAAATGTCATGTTCCATAGATGCTGTTGTGATCAGGGTTGTTTTCTTGCTTAAATTGTTAGAAAAAGATTTGAAGTGACAGCTCATTCTTTATACTCTTTCACATAAAACACTGAAGATGAAACCTCTTCTCTCTTTAGGATCCACATGTTGACTGTTATACAGTATCATCTATCAAGAGTAAGCTAGGCTTGGATCGCGATGCCCTGGTTGGTCTGGCAGTACTTCTTGGCTGTGATTATCTTCCAAAGGCAAGCTGAACTCATCACTTCTTTCTCAATACCTATAATACTTTATGTGGGGTGTGTGTGTGTGTGTGTGTGTGTGTGTGTGTGTGTATGCGAATATAGTATGGTTATATAATTATGAGTTCATTTTAAGTATAAGACATTCACTAACAAAAAATAATCAAAAGGACTGATGAGATGATTCACAGGTGAAAACACTACTATGCAAGTGTGCAAGTGTGACAGCCTGAGTTCCATGCCTGAGATATACATAAAAGTGAAAGTTAAAAAACCAAGTCCACAAAATTGTCCTCTGACCTTCCACAAGTGCCATGGCACATATGCACTCACACACACACACACACACACACACACACACACACACACACACACACACACACACACACACAAATAATAAGTAAATAAATCCAAAAACAGTTAGCATCTCACATAATGCTAAAAGGCTACCTTGTGGCAATAAATGCTACAAAGGGAGTTCAGGAAGTGATCCACACAGCTTCAGCCTCAAAAGAGATTGGCATGTGTGCTTGACCAACCTATCAGAGAAGTTTAAGGATGCCTCTTGTTTTATAGCAGTGCTAGTTTCTAGTGTGGCTTTACCTATTTGCACACATGTGTGTGCTCTCCTCACTGCTGCTAAGCATCATCATTACACAGGTAAGCCATTCATACCTCCCAGTACTGTATTAGATTTTCTTCATAGAGTGATGAGAGTTAGGGCAACCTTGTCGTAAATACCCTGTGCAAAAAATGCAGATGGTCACTATTATACCTCTTTAAATGTGTCCCCATCATTCCAGATTAACATTTAAGTTTGTTTTTCCACTTTATGAAAGGGAGTGCCTGGAGTTGGAAAAGAACAAGCACTAAAACTGCTGCGGATTTTGAAAGGTCAAAGTTTGCTTCAGAGGTAACTCAGTGTTGCTTTTTACTCCACACTGGACACTTTTTCTTGTTGGACTCAGTAGTGAATTCACAGAAAGATTACTTTTGAACTGCTCTGTGTTTTCATTTCTGGCAATTAATTCTTGCTTATCTTGAACTCTTCCAACAAAGCATGCTATTAAGTATGTATTTTTGCTTCAGTGCACATAGTACAAATATGGTAACTTATAGCTATGGGCGTTTTTTTCCACAGGCTGATTTAGACCATTAGCATCAAGTAAAGATGAACATAACATTAAAATGATTTTGTATTTGATGCTTTGATAGTATATTTAGTTTCTACAAACGAAGTACTACATAACATGTTGAAAATACTTAATAGGTAACATTGGATAAAGAACGTTTAATTTGGACCAGCGATGTGAATCAGCATGTTACAGGACTCACAGCCCAAGCCTGATGACCTGAGTTCATTTGGCCTCCTAGAACCCATGATGGAAGGAGAGAACTGACACCTACGAGTTGTCTCACTTCCATTATGTACACTGCAGCTTAATACATGCCTGCCAGCATGCATGTACACACCAGCGTGCACACACTGTACAGGAATGCATACACACAATACTACAATAAGTAAAACTTAATATCAGAAAACTTTGTCCTTTGTCTTGCTGCTATACATTTAGTAATGTATTAATTCTAACTTGAGCTGTACAAGTTGAGGATCCAATTAAGATACAGATTATATGGAAATTTATAAACTGCTTATTCTCTTAAAAGCTTGTGAATTATATGTATTTCATGAAAGCAATTGTTTATAAAAATTGAGATTAATGGCAAGCTATAAAATAAGAAAGAAAGAGACCTGGGAGGTTAAACATAGTCCTGATCAACCCTCAGTAGGTCTAAGGTAGTATATTTCTCAAAAGAAACTCTAAGATGTTAGAAGTAAAGAAATGACTGAAAAATCTTTCAAATCACTGTACCCTTTCATATAGTGCTTCTCTTTTACCTGTAAAACTGTTGGTAGACCAAAGTCTTTAGTAAGTTACTGGTGGACGTGTGGTTATTTTGTCAAAACAGGGAAGAAATGGTAGAATTTGTCATGGGAATGAATAAAGGAACTATCTCAGAAATGTCTTTATAGTAAAATAAAGAATTCAACACAAGAAAATATGATACTTATCTAACTCTGAGCTACTCTTACTAAAATAGTGTCAGCAAATATGTATTTTTTGGCAACATTTAAACATGGTCTTTATACTTATCATTATCCATCCTTCTAATTTTAATAATTTATATTATTTTCCAATTTTTTAATATTCAAACTCTTATCATTTATCCAGGAGCTATTAATACAGATTTTTAGTATGCTTGCAGTTATTCTTGACAGTAAATGAGTCAAAATTTCTAGCAGTTAATTAATTACCTCAGTATTACACATCACCCTGTGAACTCAATGTCTTATGAGTGGCATCTAGGTGTCCTTGATAGTATTATGTTAACATGAAACTTTCGGCAAAAACAAATTTTATTACTCAAAATCTTAGCAGTTACATACATGTTTCTTAAAACCTTGCATTACGGGGGCTGGAGAGATGGCTCAGAGGTTAAGAGCATTGGCTGTTCTTCCAGAGGACCTGAGTTCAATTCCCAGCAACCACATGGTGGCTCACAACCATCTGTAATGAGATCTGGTACCCTCTTCTGCCTGTGGGCATACAGACAGACACTGTATATGTAATAAATAAATAAATATAAAATAATGCTTAAAAAAAAAACCTTGCATTACACAAATAATATTTTGCCATTTTTATACAACAGATTAAGAAAAAGGAAAGTAACATTTTAAATTGTCCATTTTTAAAAGTTTTATCAGAAAACTTAATGTCTTATTTGAACCTACTCTTTACCCTAATTTCCAATTAAAAATATGATAGCGCATATAATTCTGCTTGCTTTGTGCTCTGGCACACAATAAAGGGATGAGAAAGGGCAAATACAAATTATTCTTCCCATTTACTGCTGCCTAGCAAACTCATCAAAAAGAAAAAAAAAAGGCTGAATGACTGTGATTAGATACACATCTGTATAGACGTATATATATGCACACTCTGCCCCCCCCTTTGCAATTCTCTGCCTGGGACCACATGTAAAACTTATAGAAAACTAAGCATTTTTCGAGGCCAGGCAAGTGGGTTTATAACCAGCAAAGAGAAAATAATTTACAGATTAAAGGGACTAGGATAACCTGACGTTTGAGAACGTATTTTTTATTACCTCAATTTTTTCTGTTTTTTTTTTTTAAACCATTTTCTAATAAAGATTTAACCAGTGGATTGAAGAACCTTGCTCCTCTATTCCACAACCAGCAGCTAAAAACGTGGCTCACTGCTCTGTGTGTTCCCATCCAGGTAAGAAGGCATAGCATACTCCAGAGTATTGGAGTCTGAGTGTTCCTCATCCTTTCTTACCCCGTATCAAGACACTGCTTGGAAATATCTTAAAGTCAGAAGACATCATGAGCATGCAATAAATGTTTGATAAATGAGATAATGTGGTAGCAATGGAAAATACAGAATGAGTAAAAGTTCACAGTTACCAAATTATTTAGATTTTAGAACTATGTTTTGATATATGAATCTATTTTTATGATGAAATATAAGTCTTAAAGGAAAATGGAACTAAAAGCATTTATTTTTATCAATATTTTATGTTTATATGATTAATCTTAATTAAATGTACTTAATCCTATGGCACATTTTTACTGGCTCTATAGATAAGGATTTAAACCTAGTTTCCAATACAAGTTCATTCTTGTTGAAAATAGGTTGGATCTTCACTAAGTCTTAATTGAAAAAGATAATTTTGAACATGAGCTGAGTGTGGTACACACTTATGATTTAGTACTTGGGAGGTGGAGACAGTAGAACCAAGAGTTCAAGCCCATCTTAAATTACATAAGGAGTTTGAGGCTACTCTGGGCTACATGAAACCCTGACTCAAAAAACAAAACAACAAAGGTATTCCTGAGTGTGATTCCTTTCAAAGGAAATGAGGGCCCCACCCACACCCGTCCTGTAGTGATATTCTTCCTTTTCCAGGCATAGTTTAAAGCAGCTAAGACGTACACACTGGCAGAGAATACAAAGCAGGTAGTCTTTTAAAATGCTCAGTAAGAAGCCATTTCATGGATTATTATGTTAAGGAAATAACCTTTCTTACCAATAATTACATTCTACTCACCTGCCTTGTAGTTATTACATAAACCACAAAGTTTTCCATTATTGGATGTAAATGAATTAATACTTCCAATAAATGAGTACATTGTCAGCAGTGTCATGATAGTGAGTTGTAATTTGTCCTAAAAACCACCCTGGTGTACACTATTCTTTCAACCTAAATATATTGAAACCAACCGTGCCAGACAATATTAATTTTGAAATTGAGATAATGAGAAAAAAGTACATGTTGAAGCTAATTCTTCACAGCAGTAAAAATCACACATCTTTGTGTCTCCAAAAAGGTTCACCTAAGGATCATGAACGTAATGGATGCACATTTTGTAAAAGTGACAGATATTGTGAACCACATGATTATGAATACCGCTGTCCTTGTGAATGGCACCAGACGAACCATAATAGGCAACTAAATGAAATAGAAAACATTATTAAAAAGTAAGTTGTTCATAGCGACTTAATGTTTTTTATGACCTGTATAGATAACTGATGTTGATTTACTTCCCCAATGCTAAACTTTCCCCATATATCTAGATTAATCAAGCCTCACACACTGTGTTGTTGATTCTGTTAAAACAAATCTCATCCATCTGGGCCCGTCACAGTGGCACACACCTTTAATCCCAGCATTTGGGAGGCAGAGAAGTTGTCTGGTCTCCATAGCAAGCACCAGGCCATCCAGAGTTGCATAGTTAGAAAATCATCCATCTAAGAAGCTTAGCAGGCAAAGGTTGCTCGCAGCCAAACCTGGTGACCTGAGTTTAGTCATCAGAACACACATGGGAGAGGAGAACCTGCTTCAGCAAGCTATCCTCTGACCTCCACACGTGTGCTGTTCACATGTGCCCAACCAAATTCACACACACATAAATGAATATTACAAAAAAGTAACAATAAAATTCCATCTGAGAAAGTAGCAGTTTAAGTTTTTCACAGAAAGGCTTGAAAGATACTGGATGTGTATATTTGTTATGAAATGAGATTGAATGAGATTTCAGTCAATCTAATTATGTGATTGTATTGATAATGTGTATAATTTATCTCTAGGAAAGCTTGCAGTTGCAAGGGATTTCCATTCCATGAGGTAATAATAATCCAATTGTATATTTTTTTTTAATTGTTAAGTTTTAAAGTCCTGAATCCTGTTTTTGTTTTTTTATACTTAGGTAATCCAAGAATTCCTTTTGAATAAGGATAAAATGTTGAAACCTATCAGGTACCAAAGACCTGATTTATTATTGTTTCAGGTATCTGAAAATAAACTCTTACTTAATAGTAAAATTTGATATAAGGAACATAGGAAGGATGTTAGCTTTAGTGTGTGAGAGGATAACTAAGATAAATAACTATTGACTATCCCTATATTCTTCAGCATTCATTTATAACCTTTACCCCTTAGCTATGCAAGGTCCGTACTTCCCAGACCATAAGGCAAACACAGGCTGCTTCTCAGAAGATTCTCAGTCACCATGTATGCACACAGTGAACCCAGGAATGTGTCTGGGGAAGAAGGGCTCAGACAAGGGGTACATGGTCAAATATATGATATGATTCTGAATATGAAATATCTGTAAAATAGAAATAACATTACCATCTCATCAAGTCACCATGAGGGTTAAATGAGATTATTTTAACCCCTGATATTGTAGTTAGGGGGAAAGGATGACTAAGTAAATCTAGTTGCACTCTTACCTTGTTAACAATAGTATATGTAATGTATTAAATGTCTTCCCACTTAATCTATATAACCTATCAACAGGGTTACATTCTCTTTGTTTACGATGGAAAAATGGCCTAAGAGAGGTCAAGGCCCTTAGCCCACCTTCTCAGACATAAGCTGGCATTCTGAGTAAAGAACCCTCTCAACCACATTGTTCTCTGACACTTTATCCTTAGGGAGCTCATTGTTTCAGGGAATTGTCTCATTAATATTGCTTTAACATTACTCTTAAAAGAAAATGTCTGAGGGTATTTCTTGTCTAAAAAGTTTTAATATTGATTTTACTGTGTTTATAGAGGTTAACTGTTCAAAAAATGGAGTGGCCCAGTCACTATGCATGTGAGAAGTTGTTGGTGCTTTTGACCCACTATGACATGACAGAAAGAAAACTTGGGAGAAAGAACTCTGGTCAACTACAGCCAATTAGGTAATGTAGTTTAAGGAATTGTATGGTCAGGGCTAGAGAGATGGCTCAGTAGTTAAGAGCAATTGGTGCTCTGCTGGGGTACCTGGGTTCACTTCCCGGCACCCATCTGGTAGCTCACAACTATCTATGACTTCAGTTCCAGGGGATACGATGCCCTCTTCTGATTTCTGTAGGCACTGTGCATGCTTGTGGTACACAAATATACATGCAGGCAAAGCACTCATACATGTAAATTAAATAAATCTAAAGAATAATTTTTTTACTATTAGAAAAAATAAATTTGTGACTGTTTCTACTTGAATATTTGCTGACCAGAAGGGTTAGTATTTCTCCTGTGTATATAATAACTGTTTTCCAAAGGTGGAGGAAAGCCTGGAAATTAAAAGCATATTCAGGCCTCACACTCAAAAATACATAGTAAATTCAGGTATTGACATAATTTTAACTTCTAATGCATGCTACTTCAAAAGTAAAAAATGAACAGAAAATATAAAAAGAACCAGGCTTAATGAAGAACTCTTTCAGTGAACAGAAGAAAACACAAAGTGATGGAGTAATATTTTAAAGTAAACATGACTGGCAGCGTTGAAGTGATTAAGCATTGTTCACTTTAAAGGCTTTTCATATACTTGAAGACTTAAGATTTTACCACACAAGACTCTCATTAAAAGCAATACTACTAACCCCAAGCACAGTAGCACACCCTTTTAATCCCAGCACTGAAGGCTGAGGCAAGCAGATCTCTGATAGTTAAGGCCTACAGGACTGCATAGTGAGACCTTGTCTCAAAGCAAGCAAGCACACATGCCCATAGAAAACTATGAAAAGTATACATCAAAAAAGACAAAGTGAAGCCAGAGGAAGATGTGGACAGGGGACACTGGTCAACAATTTAATGAACTGGATGAAATTACTTACCTGCATAATTATATTCACCTAATTTTAATGACTAATAAATAATAAACTAAAACTCTTCATTTTGGATTGTATCCCAAGTGTTAGTCTTAAATCTTTAAGTACATGTTTTGAGAGTATTTTTTATATCTGTTGTACATCAATATGTTTTTCTACTAGAAACAATATCTGACATTCAAACAATTACAGTTCAAATAAGAAGTAAAACTATCAAACCAAGAGTATATATATATATATATATATGGAGGAAGAAGTGAGTAGAAAAAATTTCCAACAGAAAACATTAAATTTATGAATGAGTCCAACTCTCACTAGTCATAATAAATGTAAGTGGATTAAATTCATCTTTTAAAATTCATATTGCATTGAATAACTAGAGATAAAAATTTTAATAATAAAATACAAAGTAAGTATACAAAGTTCAAAAATAAAGATTTAATAGGCAAATACCAAAGAAGTGTAACAAAGTGACTTTACAAGAAAAATCATGGAAAAACCAATACTACATAATAATAAAAAAAAAATGCTGGAGAGATGGCTCAGAGGTTTAAGAGCACTTGTTACTCTTGCTGAGGACCTGAGTTCAAATCCCAGAACCCACATGGTGGTTCATAGCCATCTGACAGTCCAGTTCCAGGGCATCTCAGTCCCTCTTCTGACCTCTGTGGGGACCAGGCATGCATCTGCTGCACTTACATACATGCAGATAAAACACTCGCAAATAAAATAAAATGAATAAATACAATGAAAATATGTGTGTACATATATATATGTTTTTTAATAAATCCAACAATTTTCAACTGTCTCACAATGAAATTATTCAACTGAGTCCAAAGAATATATAGGCAGTAATTCCTTATATCTTTACTTAGACTAAATATTGATAGAAATTGAAGTTTATAAATTAAAATTTTACAAATAACTTGTACAGTTAAACTTCAGTATATGAATTTATTTTTCAGAATTGTTAAGCCCCGAATCAGAAATGGAGTTCGTTGTCTTGAAATAGAATGGGAAAAGCCTGGTATGTATTTATTATACACAGAACGTTTAATTTATAACATTTGATCCAATTGTGAAGTAGATAGTGAATATTTAGAAAGCTTACATGCTTGTGGAAGTCTTGAAAAAATCACATGCACTATGAATTTTATTTTTATTTTACCTGTTGTATTTTAAGTAGATTTTGACTAATAAAGGTGATAAACTTCAAGTGCCTTTATTTTTACCACCTTTGACATTTCTTTAATGTTTGGAAATAATGCAAAAATAGTTGTGAATCATATTTCTTTTTAAAAAATTGCTTCCACAAGTGCTCTGTCTTTGGGGTCTCACGTTTAGCTGTTTCTAAGGCAGTTGAGGTGAGTGAATAGTAACTAAAGAATTTTTCTTCCCTTTCCTTTATTCTATTTAGTTTCCGTGTGAATTTGTACTTCAGCTACAACACAAAAATAGTGTAAGCTCTGGATAAGCTTCCAGACTAGAGGTCAGAAAAGTGGGTGATTTAAAATGGACATGACTCAAGATTCGTGGGCTTTTATTGAATTTTGTATGTAGTGACCTGTGTGAGGGTGTGGGTCCACACACAGACATGCTACGGTGCACATGTGGCAGTCGGAGGACAATTTGCAGGATTCAGTTTTCTCCTATCTCATTTAAATATCAGAATATAACATTTTTAAAAATCCAGTCTTTACCAATTCAAACACTTTAAAAGTTCAGTCTCTTCAAAAATATATTCAACTTTTCTTTTAAAACTCCAAGTCTCTGGAAAACTCCAAAAGCTCTTTAAAAGTCCAAAGTCTCAACTGTGGGCTCCTATATAATCAAAGCAAGTTAAATACGTCCTTACTCTGTTAGGGAAGAGCCAGGGACAGTCATGGTTAGAGCAAGGCAAAACCAAAGTCCCGCAGTGCAGAGCTTAGTGTCACACTGTGGGATCCACTCACGATCTTCTGGGCTCCCCCAAAGTGTTCACCACAGTACACAACACACACAGCTTGTCTCCTAGGCTCCGGCTAGCCACACATCACAGGTGCTGCTGTCCTTGGCAATCCTCCCCATAGTTCTATGGTTTCCTACTACCAATGGACCGCACCAATAGCCTTTCCTGGACTCTCTTCATGGTATCAAGCCTCAACTTCTCTGCATGATTCCCTTCAGTCCTGGGCCTTCAGCTGCTACTAGGGCTGCACTTATGGCTTCTTCTGACTTCTCAAAGTGCCAAGCCTCAGCATCTGTCCATGACCGCTTCGTGTTTTCATAACTATTTGGGGACTCAGAGCGCGTGCGTGCGTGCGTGCGTGCGTGCGTGCGTGCGTGCGTGCGTGTGTGTGTGTGTGTGTGTGTCAATCCTGAGGAAACACTACCAGAAAGTCTCACTCAGTGATTCACTCTTCTTTATGACCACTAATTTCTCATCCCCCACTAACCAGCATCAATTGTCCCAGTAATGCAAAGGCTTCACTTCAGGGGTACTGGTCTCTTGTTAATCACAGCTAATTCTTTGGGCCCAGCTAACCAGAACCACGGATTCTTGATTCAAAATAGCACACGACCCCCAGAGAATCTTTAAGGAACTCTCAGATTTCCCTCTGAAACTTAAGAAAAAACCAAGCTTCTATCCTCTGCGGTGATCTCAACATTCTTATCTTCCAAGCCCACAGAGCTTAGCCCAGGTCCCAAAGCCCTTCCACAATCATCACCACAACACTATGGTCAGATCTATCGATTTCACCATATCCTCTATCAATACCCCATATCCTGCTTATATGTCTTTTGTTTTTTTTAACTAACATAGAAACTAATGTTTCCTTATGGCATTTTCATACATACTTTGTTTTCTGGTTCATACATACAGGGATATTTTCCAACTCCCCGTTTATACCATTCTACCTCCAGTATTACCTTTCGCTTTTATATCCCATGTTCAGTTGTTTTGCCCACCCCACTTCCTTAAAGCCTTTCCCCCTCTGCCATAGGCCCCTTTACAGTACAAATTGAAACCACTTAAAGATTCCATGTAATCCCAGTCAGAAAACTTACCGTCAAACAAGCAAATAACAACAAACGCTGGTGAGAATGTGGGAAAAGAGAAACCCTTTATCGGCTGTTAATAGGAGTATAAATTAGTGCAGCCACTTTATAAATCAGTATAGAGGTTTCTCAAAATTAGGGGGAAAAAAAGTAAAGAGGACCCAGCTATATCAACCCTAGGCAGATTCTCAGAGGACTGCCCTTCCAGAGAGATACCTACACATACGCATTTATTTATTTATTTAGTTAGTTTTTTATGAGGCAGGGTTTCTCTCTATTGTTTTGGAGGCTGTCGGTCCAGCCCGGCCTCGAACTCACAGAGATCCGCCTGCCTCTGCCTCTCGAGTGCTGGGATTAAAGGCGTGCACCACCACCGCCCGGCTCACATACGCATTTTTTTTTCCTTTGGTTTTCATGAGACAGGGTTTCTCTGTATTGTTTTGGAAGCTATCGGTCCAGCCCGGCCTCGAACTCACAGAGATCCGCCTGCCTCTGCCTCCCGAGTGCTGGGATTAAAGGCGTGCGCCACCAATGCCCGGCACATACGCATTGATTAATGCTGTAGTCACATCAGAAAGGAAACAGACTAAATGTCTGTAAGTAAATAGATAGTGAAAATATTTAGTACATATACTCTATAGCATTTCATTTATTCAGCCTTAAGAAAAAAATAATGTTGTGAAATTGGCAGGAAAATGCGAGCCAGGCTCAGAAAGACAAAAAGCATATGTTCTCTCATATGCAAATCCCAGTTTTTAGCTTTTCTGTATATATTTTATTGTGACCTCCATATAAACATTCTCATTTCATCTGTTTGTGGATCCTCTGATACTGGGAGTTATCTTAAGAAATTGATAACCAGGGCAAAGAATATGGAGGTGTAACTTGCCTAGTTCACAGGAAGCCCTTTGTCTTGGAAATGGTTTGCTTTCTTCCTTATCTCTAATTTTAACACTTGATCTATAAGTTTTCTGTTCTCTCAACTGATGCTACTATCTCTGAAACAAGAAAAAATAGTTTTAAAACCACAACAACAATATACATGAGGGTAGGAGGGAGAAAAGTGACCCAGGATATATTCTTTTTTGGGGGGGGGGTCACAACAGGGCTTCTCTGTGTTGTTTTGGAGGTTGTCTTGGATCTCACTCTGTAGAGCAGGCTTTCCTCGAACTGAGAGATCCACCTGCTTCTGCCTCCCAAGTGCTGGGAACCAGGATATATTCTATGCTTGTATGTGATTATCAGAAATAAACAATAGAGAAATGACAACGTTGTAGAGCAAGATTTGTGATGAGTTATCTGCCCATTTTTGGACAGTGTAGTTTTCCTGGTAACTACTTGGAAAACTGAGTTTTTAAACCTTTAGTTGTCTGCTTTTTCATAATTTTAATCTTCTAGAGCATTATGCTATGGAAGACACAGAGGCTGGAGAACTGGATCTCCTTACTGTTGAAGAAGCATCACTGTTTGAAGCAGCCTATCCTGAGGTTGTTGCTGTCTACCAGAAACAGCAGTTAGAAACTCAAGGGAAGAAACAGAAGAGTAAGTATTGAGCTAGCTGGGCAGGGCACCAGCTTTGCATAAAGCAAGAGTAAGAGCAGTGCTCTTGCTTCTGTGTTTCCATAAGCTTTATCTCCCAATGCTGCAGTGCTAGCAACCATACCCTAGAACCTCCCAAATGCCCCCTAGAACCCCCCCAAATGCCCCCCAGGTATGCTCCCAACTGCATTTCGTACCGAGCCCCACACACTTCCTTTAAAACTGAAATGCTGGGAATCCACCATTATGCTCTGTTTACTAGCTTGAGTATGGTAAGTACAGAGGAGTGTGTAACACTAACGCTAGCCAGCTTTAGAGCAGTTACTGCAAAGATAACTTGTGTTATAAGTGCATTTTCTTTATTCCTCAGAATTCAGTGAGGAAAGTAAGTCATTATTGACATTTCCCAAAGAAAACTAATAGTGTTTCCAGGAATGTACTGGGTAGTGAGTGGAGGTGGGTGCAAAAAAAAAAAAAAAAAGAAAACTTACATAAATTACTGGTTTAACTCTGGTTTAGAGTACTGTTTTTCATTTTGCTTGAGGTTTTTTGTTTGTTTGTTTGTCTTCCCAAGTTAAGGAAAAGAGTATTTATTATATGTTTTTCTTTTCAGGTAAGAAAGTTAAGCCTAAAGGAAACAGTTTACCAGAATTGGATAATGTAGTCAGTTCTCAATCATTTATGACTTTAAAACCTGTATGTGAAGTCTTCCCCAAGCAAAATTGCAAAATTAATTTGGAAATTTCTCCAGATCTTATTTTGCCACAGGAATCTACTTCTCCCTCACTGAGGAGTTTAGTTTTTTCTGAAAGTACTCCCTGTTTGAATTCGCAAGAACATTTCCTGCCTTCTCCAAAACCTTTGACTGGAAAGCAAACTAAAGATGTCACTAATTTTCTAGTTGCAGAATGCAGTCAGCCCAGCTCTTCATCCCACAATATTTCTGTGATTTCTAATCTAGAGTTGAGTACCATTGACTGGGAAGGAACTTCTTTTAGTAATCTTCCATCTGTTCAAAGAAACACTTTGTCCCAAGATTTACAATCAGAGCTTGAGTCATCATCCATCCTTCCTGACTTTGAAAATACCCCAGAACAATTGCCATACAAATCAGAACAACGCACCACAAACAATGAAGAGCTGGGTAGAGATCTTCAAAAGATTAATCCTGAAGAACACCTACTTTCTGGCATCACTGCTTTATATCTTCACGATTTGCCTCTAAAGGAACGAATACATATAAAGTCCTCATGCCCTGAGTATAATGTACAAGCACATGCTAACCTGGAAAGTTTGCCCATAAAAGTAAAAAGCTCTTGTATTAATGACAGTAGCTCCTCTGGTTGTTTATCGAATTTCTCAAAGGAATTTCCAGGAATATATCTGCACAAAGAGTCCAAAAACTTGAAAGTACTAGACAACCAACTCCTTCAAGAAAATTCTACAGTGAATACTTCCATACCTTACTCTTTTGATGACAAAGTAGTAGAGATCTCCAGTCTTCATGTTGGGCTCCCAAATACTGCTCTGCCTCATAACCCAAAAGTTGATGAGAAAACTACAAAGAACCTTGTGAAGAAGAGTGTTTGCCTCAAGAGAGATTCCTCAGATGAAGAAAGTACTCCAGTGTCCTGGAAAACTAAGTATACTGCTCCAAAAGTGAAACACGGTTCTCAGAAGCATAGCCTAGCCCAGGTCAGAGATAAACCCAGAAATCTGAAAGTAGATGCTAAAGAAACCAAACCATGTACAAAGTCTTATACAACAGCTGAAGAAGAAGAAAACTCATTCTCAGATCCAGCAAAAAGGACTCAGAGTTTTCTCCAATATCATAAGAAAGATGAGGACTCTGCTGCCTGCTTAGAAAGTCCTCTCCCTTTACGTCAGAGGTTAAAACTCAGGTTCCAGAACACTTGAAGTAGATTTTATAATACTTAATTTAATTTATTTGAATGTTGTCAGCATTAGCTGGTTCATGGTTGGTAGGAAATTTACATGGTTATGTGCCATTTTAATCAAATTGTGGTTTAAAGTGTTAGCAGCCATGTATGGTTCATGCCTGTGATCACAGCACTTAGGAGGTGGGTGTAGTCCATAGGAACAGGAGTTCAACATCATCCACTGGTGTATGAGGAGTTTCGGGCCAATCTGAGTTATCTAAGGAAGAAAAAATGAAAACTTTGACTACAAAGTTGCTTTTTTTTTAATGACAAAAGATGTGATTTTGATTACAAAATATGGTGACAGCTTCAAATAATGTTTTAGGACATATTTTACCATTCTTGAAATGTCTTTACTGATTATTGTCTAGCTTTAACCAATTAATGTATTCTTTGATAGAATAAATGCGCTATCATTTCTAATTTTTCTTATGTAAGCCTCTAAAGTATTTGTTACAGTCTAGTTTATTCCCAAGAGGGTAACACTTTGTAATTGTATTGCAGTGTCTTCATGGCCCTTCCTAATGGTATATTTCCTCTTCATGTTGAAGTACCATTAGCATGCTCTTCCACTTTTAGTAATGTCATTTTTGAGAAGTAAAAATGGAAAAAGATGATGATGTGGAGTGAAGTGTATTTGTAAAGTCTGAAGAAGGAAAGTTGTTCCTTATAGACATCAGAAGGTCAGGCACTGCAAGTGGAAAATGTTTTTAAAATCACATGTAAAATCACATGAAGCTTATCTGGATCACATAGTTAATAATAGCAACTGTGTGAGTCCCACCTTTGCTTTCTAGTTTGGATCTTACATTGTTTATTTTTGTCTTGTTTTTAATCTGTAAAACTGCTCCCTTTTCTTTAAAAGTTAGTTTGTATGTTATATTGACTTTAATCCCTACAAATACTAAGTGTCTTACATAAATTGTAATCAAAAATTCTAGAAGCACCTGGACTTTAAAAGAAACAGTACAACTTCTTGTAAATGACTGGAGCCTGAAAGTAGAATGTCTTTTGGATCCATCAAAAAGTGCTTTAATCCCAGTACTTGGAAGGCAGAGGTAGGTGCATCTCTGAATTCAGGGCTAGCATGGCAAGCAGAGCTAGTTCTAGAGTAGCCAATGCTACACAGAAACAAAACCCTGTTACCAGAAAAAATTAAAATAAAAGAAAAACAGCCTATTAAAAGTCAAGCACGAGTTCAGCCAGGTTGTAAAATCCACAATTAGTTTACTCTTGTATACTAACTATACAGATGTGGTTTTGTATACTCTGTATGAAATTGAAATTTCACCAAGTGAAGATTAAAATGAACACAGCAAAGGTGGCAAAACTTCAAGTTAACAGTGAAAAACAGTGGATAAAAGGAAAGAATGTAGAAATGAAAAGAGCCATCTTAGAATCATGGGTCAGTAGACAGCATGACAATCTGTTTAAACTGTTCACTTTTGCCAAGTGATGCTGGTGTACACCTCTAATCCCAGCACTTCTGCAGCAGGGACAGGAAATCCAGCCAAGCCTACACAGAGAAACCCTGTCTGGATAAATAAATAAATAAATAAATAAATAAATAAATAAATAAATAAATAAACAAACAAGCTTTCTGTTTCGCTCTAGTCCCATAATTTTCAACAAAATGGGTTAGGAATGGCTCATCTGGATTATTTACAAATCTTCTGTGGACATTAGTCTATGCAATCTGATACCAACTTTCACTTTCTCGTCTCGGTGTCAAATTCTTGTATGTTGTAGTTCCTTGATGACAGGCTCGTGACAATTGTGTTTAGACTTCTCTGAAGGTAAAGAGCTATTAATGAGTTCGCCAAACCAAGATAAATGATAGATAGGTGTTTGTTGGGGATGAACTTACACAGATGACCATAAGTAACAGTTGCGGCGTTCCTGCTCCAAGGTTGTAGACCCTGCCTCCCCATGCTCTCTACGACCTGAAGGGGACTTCCTTCCCCTACTCCTCTCTCCACACCTGTAACCAAGCCCAAAGGGCGTGGCCCCTGTCTCAGGTTCACAAGCAAATACCACTACGCTTCCCTCATGATTATTGTTTATATATGCATCTATCTCTTCATTGTGTTGTCTTTCAGTTAATCTACTAAAAACCTGCCTTTAGCTACTTGGGCCCTGGAAACTGGTTTCTTCCTCTTTCCTCCATAGAGCCCTGCTGTGACCTATTTTCTATAGGCTTTGTAAGGTCAGTCTGAAATCGTTAGGGTTTTCATTGCACAGTTCACATTAAGGCAGACTTCTTTATTTGGGGTAACAATGGTAAATACATGCTTTTGTCAGATATGTCTAGTTTCAAAGGCTTTTCTGCTACATATTTCCCCAGATATTTTCTCAGCTTTCTGAGACTCATTGGAATATTTATGTCATCTCTATTATGTGACAGACATTGCTGGGCCCCAGAGATAGAGTGATGAATGGATCCTGTAAGGCTGTTTTAGTTTCTATAAATTAACTGCCACCATTGGTAAATTGGGGCACTTAATAAATGGTAAATACCAGGTACTATCATTTGGAAGAACATTTCAGATTTAATTTCAAGCTAAATTAAATAAAGCCCAAACACTGCCTTTGAGTAACCCTCTTTTAGGGTGTGTGAGGTAGAAATACCTAGAAAAAGGAAGCTCACTGGTTTAGCACCCTAAAAGGGACCCTAAAGAATGTAAGATTTGAGCTATGGTTATAATCTGGAAAGTGAACAATGTACTTACCGAAATAACATTGGTAGACAATGTTAATCCAGTTACCCAACATATTTACTAACCCCGACTTCCTACAGAGCGCTTGGACTTTGTGTGACAACTGGTGGTGTGTCTGTGAGTTTAAGAGGAATTCCCAAGAGCTGGAGAGGTGGATCAGTGGATCAGTTAGAGAATTGACTGCTCTTCCAGAGTGTTGGGAGATGTCATTCTGTAAAAATGTGTCTGATTGGTTTGAATAAAGCACTGTTGGCCAATAGGGAAGCAAGATAGGTGGGACTAGGAGTGGAGGAGGATTCTGGGAAAGAGACACCATGTAGGCGCCAGAGGAGTAAGAGGTCTGGACCGTTTTCTCCCGTAAGAGAAATACTTGGATTAACAATTATGGGTTAAATACTTAAGTCAGAGATAGCCAGTAAGAAACCAAGCAAACGGCCAACAGCTTTATAATTAATATAGTGTCCTGTGTGTTATTTGGGGACTGCAACTGTAGCAGGGCCCAGGAGACTGGCGGGGAAAACTATAATCTACACCAGAGAACCTGGGTTCAACTCCCAGCACCCACATGGGAGCTCATACCTGTCTATGGCTCTAGTTCCAGGAGGGTCTGATACCCTCACACAGACACACATGCAAGCAAAACACCAGTGTACCTAAAATAAAAACAAATCAAAAAATTTAAAAAGGAATTCCTTTGGGCCATTCAATTAGAAAGTGCTAAAGCTGGACTAAAGAGATAACTCAGTAGTTAGGGGCACTGGCTGCTGCTCCAGATGACTTAGGTCCAACTCCCAGTCCCCATACAACTGCTCACAACCATCTGCCTATACCTCGGTTCCAGAGGATCAAATGCCCCTCTCTGGCCTCCAGGGGCACCAGGAATGTACACGTTACATAGACATACATGCAGACTAAATACCCACACAATTTTTTTTAATTTACAAAAATACTAAAGGTAAAGCCAGAACTTAGTGAAGGAGGTTCCTGCATCTGTAAATATGTTTCTATACTCAGTTCTTGCCTCAGATATGACATGGACATCTTTCCTGGCTTTGTAGTGTCACTCTGCTTCTACCTTCAGCCCTGCATTATTCTTTGCACTTAATAGTGCCTGGCATAAATGTGCAGTTTTGCTTGTGGTTTTATATTGTCTATTTTCCAAACTAGAATGCAAACTAAAGGGAAGAACTACTAGGAAATTGCTTGACCCAGTAATAGTGTGCATGGCTTCCCCTATCCCACTGGAACCTATACCAGCGATATACATTCTTTGTAGAATGTACCCCAGGAACTCCAACATAGCTCAAAAGACTGTGACAGTGTCTAGTTTCAGCATGAGGTGTGCTCTGCTGTAAATGTCTGCTTTAGCCACCCAAGAACTCTTGTTATTTACTGAGCAGAGATCAGTCAGTGTCTGATACATACATAATGATTCCCTAATACCTTGTTAGACTCTATCCTTTGAGGGTCAGCTCACGTGGAGTAACTTCTCATTCCAAGCAGATTTTGCTCTGTTTCACCAAGACAATTACCCACACCTCCACAAAATACAATATTTTGTCTTTAAAAATGTGTCCATTTGGGCTGGAGAGATGGCTCAGAGGTTAAGAGCATGGACTGCTCCTCCAGAGGTGCTGAGTTCAATTCCAAGCAACCACATGGTAGCTCACAACCATCCATAATGAGATCTGGTGCCCTCTTCTGGTGTGCAGGAATACATGGAGGCTGGATGTTGTATTCATAATAAATAAGTCTTTTTTAAAAAATGTGTCCACGGGCTGGAGAGATGGCTCAGAGGTTAAGAGCACTGACTGCTCTTCCAGAGGTCGTGAGTTCAATTCCCAGCAACCACATGGTGGCTGACAACCATCTACAATTCAATCTGGTGTATATGTAATAAATAAATCTTTTAAAAAAATGTGTCCATTTGCCCTCTCAGATGCTGGACTCAAACCTGGTTTTTGCATCCCCCAGAACCCTGTGAAGGACTTGATACCTTATGCTGTTTTCTACTTCACCAACTGGCTGACTCCCGGAAGACTCGGTGTAAACACCATCTATTCTAACAAACACATCGCTTCTCTGGGTCCTTGCTGTTCCTTATAGACTTTTGAGGTGTTACCTGCCAATGGTTTGGGGTTTGCTTTCATTTTTCTTTCCCACACTACTACACCAAGCAGCTGGTATTTCTGAATCCTTAGCATCCACAGAGGAGCGAGCAGAGAAAGCATTCAGTGAGTGGATGTGGGGTTACTGACTGGTGGAGAATTCAGTGTCTTAGTGCTTCAATTCATCTGAGGAAAGGCCAGACCCAGATGGATGGCTGCTTCCCTTGGCTTGATCACTAGTCACCTTCAACTCTTTCAAGGTGTCCCTGGGTGATGCTTCCTGTGAGCATCACCCAGGAGCTAAATCAACCTCTACTCCTATTGCTCTGTAGCACATAGGGGTAAAGGAGTCAAATAAGATGTCCCTAGGGTAGCTTCCTTTCATCTCCAGATTAACATGGTAGTGTTTATCCCCTTTATCAGCTAACAGCTTGCCTTGGTCTCATTCAAAGAACTTGCCAGATTGCCTTAAAAGGAGTTGTCAATATGTAAGACATGATATGATAACAGTCTAGAAATGTGATTTCTTTCTTTCTTGTTTTCCTTTTTTGTTTGCTTTTTTGTCAGTGGATAGCATTTTTTTATCACCATGAAAGACAAAATTTGCTTGTTTGGTAGTGGAGAGTCAGCAGCAGTTAGATGGCCTTCTGTAGCCACGATTTTTACAATATTTGGAAGCTTTTATAAACAGCAAAGCAGAACCTTTCTGTAGGTATACAGGGCATGATTTTTTTTGGCACAATTATGTGCCAAGACCTGATACAGTTTCACCACCACCACTGCCACATC